TTACGTTAGTCAGGCGATTTGTCCCGAGTTTGCACGAGTTTCATGTTTTCTCAAACCGGCCCAAGAATTCATCCGAAGGGTTTGCCAAGAGCCGCCGGCAAAAAGGAGGGTTTTTTTCTAAATCAGTAAAGTACATTACCTTGTTCGTCCGATGCGTCATCACAATCTCTTCGACCATCACACTTCCATTCGTTCAGAATACAGTCGCCATTGTTGCAACGGAACTGGTCTGCTTTGCACGACAGATCTAGACAGTCACGCTCGTCGGAGGCATCCTCGCAGTCACTGTCACCATCACACACCCAGCTACGGCTGATACAACGGCCAGAGCCACACCTAAATTTTAATGTACAAAGAACAACTTCCTCGGGTGCTATGTCAAGGACACAAGACGCAAGAAAACAATTTTCACTGCGGATCATATAGAGAGTTTCAATAGACCTTTTTACCGATACGGCGGCCATTTTGAATCCTGTTGTTTCAAGTGGCTATTATGGGATGCTCAGGGAGCAAATTAGTATGTATTTGTCCTCTAAGCATCCCATAACAGCTATTTGAAACAATAGAATTCAAAATGGCCGCCGTATCGGTAAAATGGTTTATTTGTCGATAAGGTCAACAGATATTAGTTTCTCAAAATCATCATTTTTTTTGCCACTAAATTGTCGAGGGTGCTAAACGACTTTGCAATTTCTCTGAAACTCTCGGCTCTCATATCTAAAACACTTCAATAATAAGACGGATCGATCAAATTGAAATTGTCTGAATCTCTATTGCAGGAAGCAATTCTTCTTGAAGATAACAAGACATCCACTGTCAAATCAGCAGCAACACTACATACATTTTCCAAACGTTTTCCCGACTTAAACAAGAGCATGGTAATTCAGATTTCCCTGAAAACACATCCTTTCCTTGGCTTCTGGCAGCCCTAATTTAACGGCAAAAATATCACCAGGGCTACCCCAATTCAAGTAAGAAAAAAATCGTGTCCGTTTTAGTAAACATCATGCGCCAGGTATTACCTGAATTCTGCACTGGAACACGTGCGAGGCAGGCAGCCTTGTTCGTCAGAGCCATCGCTACAGTCTTGTTCATGATCGCACCGCCAGTCGACTGGAATGCATCGTTTATCGTGACACTGAAATGTACCAGCATCGCAATGGAGGCCTGATGAGGTAAAATAGTCCAGAAAAGAAAAAAAAAAAAACTCAATAAGTAGGCTGTTTCCGTATGCCCGCTGTTGAAATGAAACCACCATCAGCCATGTACTGAAGTGTTGCTCAGGGATTAACTATTTCCCTTTCCTCCAACCCCTCCCCCCCACTCCCGCCTCAGTGTCTTGCTCTCAAATATTTTCCACAAACAATCCTTATCCTTGAAGGGTTGCCATTGAAAAGGGAGAGGGAGGGGAGGGGTGGGGGGAAGAGGAGCAATAATACCGTTTCTATGGGATACTGCCAAAGTGTAAGTACATAGCGTCTGTATTCGTGTTGTATTCTAGCAAGCTTTCCAACTGTTGCGTGTACTGTTGCTGCTTTGTATATGTAACTGAACTGTACCGACAATACCTTAATTATAAACCAGAAATACGGAATTTATTAACCTTTGCAAACATCCACGGATTCGTCTGATCCGTCGTCACAATCCGGTTCCCCGTCACACTTCCACAGCTTAGGAATACACTTGCGTGACCCATTACACTGAAACCGTGTGTTAACATCACAGGTGTGATTGCGGCAGATCTCTGGTGATTCGTCGCTCTCATCTCCACAATCATTGTCGCCGTCACAAAGCCACTGGCGAGAAATGCAGCGACCACTGACCGGACAGGTATGATGATCGCTGGAGCAAGTGGTGAATTTACAGTGCCTCTCGTCGGAATTATCTCCACAGTCGTTGGTTCCGTCACACACTTGTGGTAGAAAAACGCATTTGTGGTTCGCACACCGAAACTGAAACGGCGCGCACTGTCTCACTTTGCACGACTCCTCGTCGGCACCGTTCGGGCAGTCATTCTTTCCATTGCATATCGAGATGACCGATACACACGTCGTGTTGTCGCACTGAAACATCCCTGCAATTAATCAGAGCAAAGATGGCTGCAAGTTGCTCGGGTCATACTTCATTTCTATTCAAACTTAAGTCTTTAAGTTTGCATACGCTTATGTCACGATATAAAAGTCATTCTTGCAATGCACAACAATACTTTCAATTCACAGGAGACGGAAAAAGATAATTATTTACTAACGTGGAGCATTAATAACAACGGAATAAGATGAAAAAGATTGGGGAAGACCGAGAGGGGTTGCGAACAACGAACCTGAAGAGTTAATGACCACGCACAAGCCGTCAGAAGATTAACATTTCACATCCACTGTTCCATCATATGCTCTTTTCAGTTATTTCTTGCAGTTGTTGGAATCAACTTTCTCTAAAGCTAATAACTATTTTGCGGAAAGTCAATGTTTCTCATCACTTTAACAACGAACACCAAGAAAGCGGTGACTCTCAATTAAGTGTAAATTTATCAATTGCCCGTCTGCAGTGTCGCACCGTGCACGAGGAAGACCTCAAACCCAAGAAACTCCCCCCCGCCACCCCCCCCTATCCACCCAGCCCCTCTTTAATGGTAATTGAAACTGTTGTCAGGTACCAAATCACTCCTTGATGTTATAAGAGTTACCTGGGGAGCAGTGTCTTGGTGGGCAGGAGGGTGGCTCATCAGAACCATCTCCACAGTCATCATCTCCATCACAACGCCACACACGAGGAATGCACAGATTGTTGTCGCAGATAAAGTCACTGTTGGTGCAGTTGTCCAAGCATGTTTTCCCGTCATTTGCCAAGTGAAAGTTGTCTGGGCAGGCACAACGGTAACCCCCTCCGGGCCTGAGCAAACACAGGCCGGTACAGGGGGAGTTTGCACAAGGGGAGGGGAGGGCAGGCTGCCGAAGAGGATGAATTATCTGAAACATGAAAGAGAAACAAACGTCTATCCAACTTGTCACAAATTGTTGTGGCGTTCACATGCATTCAATTCGACTAACTGAGAACTTTTTGTTGTGGTTTAAAAACCACAACAAGGCACAAAAGTTCGGATTTGAGTCCATAGTCCCCAAGCCATAGTTTAAGATCTAAATGTAAGAAATAGAAGTCCGGCTTTTAGCGCAAAAACCAGTCCATTGGTTTTCGTTTCCTGATATTTTTTATGATTGAATTTGTAAACTTTTAATATCTCGATCTTGAATTTAAACAAGGGAAACAAAGCTTTTCGTGACCGGTAAGTACCGGAACTTTCGAGAAAGGGGCCTAAGACCCATTTAGTGACGAAAGTGCATTACCGTGTGGCGCCAGATTTCTACAACGAGAAACAACCATTCAGCACGACACGGAGTTACGTTAACAGTAAGCAATTTTTCGAGTGGAATCTGGAGTGGCGTCTCTTTGAAGCGGGGAAAAAACTGATCCTCAAACAGGGAATGTCTGCACGAAAACCCGAGCGATCTATAAATGCACTTACCTGTAATCCCATAAGCCTGTGAGATGAATTCAACAAAACAGAGTGCTGCAGTCCCGTCAGCCTATGCGCTCGGTGAATCGCCATCGTCATCCAATCTGTCCAATACACAAAGTCCTCGAACACGCTGATAGAAAACGGGTGGGGTGCGTAAAGCTTGTTAAGCTGAACGCGGTTCCCGCCATCGCGATCGCACGACTCGATGACATCCAACTTGGCGTCCACCCAGAATAACCTCTTGGTGATGTGGCACAGAGACAAGCCGTTAGGCCAGCCGATGGATTTGCTGTGTATAAACCACCGTCTTCCGGAGCCGTCCAAACCGCATTTGCCGATATGAGGCTTGTTTCCCCAGTCACTGTAATACAAGTGGCCTATGGGAGTCAAGAGAAAAAAGCTTTACCAGTGACTGTTACAAAACGTTACTCAAAGCACCCACAACTGGCCAATCACAATAAACGGAAATCAGTGATCAACCAATCAGAATAAGAAACAAATACTGGCAACCGCCGTTGCAAAGCGCGGGAAAACAAGTAACCTTTGCAAAGCGGCAACCAGAAAAAGCCAAATCGAAAATTAAATGAAACAAATTGTTACTTTTGAGTCAGTCAAACCCGCCTCTAAACAGTGACCAATAAAAATCGAAAACATTGGTAGAACTCAAAATTCTCTTCAAGTGAAATCTCATTACAATGAACAATTTTACGTCTTCTTATTTTTTTGACAAAAGCACCAAAAAAAAAAAAAATGAAAAGTACTCTCATATTCAGGAGTGCACATCTATTCTGGTCAAAGGGAATGTGACTGTCCTATAACGGCCAATGTGCACGGAAAATGATAAACAGCGATATTTTCTTGAAGAAAAACCACATTCTCAAAACTGACAATTAAAGAAATGTATAGTAATCAGCAAGTAGAATTGATATTTTAATCTGACATTAAAACGCACCATCAGTGGGATCAACCACCACTGCCCTGGGCTCCTGCAACCCTTCTGATATTAGCGTCTTCATGTAACGTCCTTCAAGTGTCGCAACAAATATCTTGTCCTGAATCCTATCCACGAGGTACACGTTTCTCCCGACCCAGTCCACCGCGAGACCCTCTACGTTGGACAACCCAGCCTCCAGGATAACCTCTGTGCTCGTGCCATTGAAAAACGCACGTTTTAAACGCGGCGGCGCGCGTCCTTCCGTCCAATACACGCGCTGTTCCGACCAATCAAAATCGATGGCTACCGCGTTTTGAACTTTGCGTAAGATGTCGCTCTCCCAGGAACCGTCCACGGCGAGTTTGCGAATCTCGTACCGGAGTAAAAACGCCAGGAACGGTTTCACCGTGGGATCAACACGTTTGCACGTTGTCAAACCGTGCAGCTCGTACCCCTTGGCACACGTACACTTGTAGTGGCCTTTCAGATTGACGCAGAAGTGGTTACACTTGTTAAGCTCGAACTTTTCACACTCGTTTATATCCTCGCAGGATGACCCGTCGGGTTGCAGCTTAAAACCGGCGCGACAAGAACAAGTGTAGCCCGTTGACGTACTGTTACAGATCTGTGAGCATCTGTTACCTTCGGGCCGATGGCAGGCGTCTTTTTTACACCGCCATTCATCAGCTCCATTGACGCAATCGTCGTGTCCATCACAGACTTTACTCCTTGGAAGGCAAGTCCCGTTCCCGCAGCTAAACGATCCCGCGGGACACGAGGGAGCTACAGTTGTCGAGCACAGTACCGGGTCTTCATCAGAGTTGTCCGAGCAATCCCGATCTCCATCACAAACATAGTGACTAGACACACAGTAACCGTTTTTACAAGTGAACTGGTTTTCGCTGCATGTGTGGTCGTCACATTGTGTTTCGTCCGAGTTGTCGCCACAATCATTTTCGCCATCACACAACCAGGCCCTCTGCACGCAAAGACCATTTTCACATCTGCGGTTACACAGAAACAAATAAAACAAAAATTTAAAAAAATACAGTGAGCGGGCCTGTGTCCCAGTGAATTAAGCCACCCAAACTCACTGCCACAAACCTGTACTCTGAGGTCAACGTTACTTAAGTAGTTTCAATTAGAATTGTTTACAAAGTCATACCAAGCGTATTTAATTACATTCTGAAGCTTGGTGTAATGACAACTGTTAGCCCATAGTCCTGAAAACTCAACAACTGTTAACAGAGTTTCAGAGAGTTTTGAAGCCGAACGATAACATTGCGCGAGAGTGCTGAACCAAAAATAGGTTATTGACTTTTGAATCCTCAAAGGCGATTATCTTCTAAAATTGACATCTGTCAATAGCAGATCCAGTTCCAGATTTAGTAGTTCTAGCAAAACTAGGGAAGGGGAAAACCCTTTCTTGTTCGCTACAGGAGTGTGGGATGGAAAGTACGACTGGAGGTAGGCCTTTGCTTGTGAGAGAGAGGGAAAGCCCTATTCTCTCCACGGGATCCGTGATTGAAAGAACACTCAGTTACCTGAACTGTGTTGGTTTACAAGTGCGGAACACGCAGCCCTCCTTAGGTTGCTCATCGGAAGCGTCTCCGCAGTCATTATCTCCATCACAAACATAAGACATCGCGATACATCTGGAGGTGTTCTCACACTTGAACTCTGTCGGATCACATGTGCGATGGTTGCAAGCGTGGTCGGCTGTTGCCTCGTCCGAGCCATCGCCGCAGTCATCGTCTCCATCACAGACAAACTTCGTGGTAATGCAACGACCTGGAGAGACAAAATAACAGCGCTTGCGTCTTACGGCAGATTCATCTAAATATATTTTCTGTGGACTTGTACAAAGTCATGAGCTGAAAACGGCCTTACGTTAAGAAAACGGCCTTAAGTTTTGTTTTGTTTTTTAGACCTTTCACAGAGCTATTTCTGCGGGGGGAGCGGGGGTGGCATTTAAGACGGAGTGATTTTTTAACTGCTCAGAATTTTGCCTTCTGGTGCGAGAAATTTCCTATGAAAACGACTTTCACTTGCACGAGAATTAATTCTGTTTCGAAACGGTAGCAGGCAACAACTGGCGTCAACAATTCAAAATGGTGGACCGAAGCCTAAGCACAGCAGTGCAAAGTACAGAACTGAACATAACACTGACATACCATTGCGACATGAAAACTGCTGACTAAGGCAGGTATGGTTCTCCGCTCCACAGGCCCCCTCATCACTGCCGTCTCCACAGTCATCCTCTCCATCGCAGTGCCACCGCATGGAAATACAATGCCCTGATGTACAGCGAAAGCTGTTAGCTTCGCAGGTCTTATTGTTACACACCTCTTCGCTCTCGTCCCACCCGTTCTCACAATCGTAGTCTCGATCGCATAACCACGACGAGTCGATACAGACGTTGGTATCACCACACTTGGCCTTGCCTGGTGGGCATGCCACAGGGGGACAATCGGTCTCGTCCGAAAAATCTCCGCAGTCATCGTCGCCATCGCATTTCCACTCGATATTTATGCAGTGGCCGTTGGCGCAAGTGAATCTGTGCGAAGCGCATTCCTTTACAGGACAGTTTTTTTCGTCGCTACCATCAGTACAGTCGCGCTCGAAGTCACATTTCCAGCTTCGAAGAATGCACTGTCCACTTGCACACTTAAATTCATTTGTTCTGCATTTCCTCTGAGCTGTAAAGGGTTAAATATTTTGTATTCAGCATTGTGAGACACTAACGACCCCGAATGGAGGGAAGATAGTGATGTATCTATGCCAGGTTCATTATTGATGTCAGTGATATCTAAAACGTTGTTCATTAGCTCGTTTGTCTTTTTCCTGTTCGTTAGCCTATGGGTTATCCATCAGTCTGTTCGTTCGTTCGTCAGTCTGTCCGTCCGTTCGTCCGTCCAACACTGCCTCCCTCCCTCATTTCCTCCAGACTCCATCCTTGACTCTATCCCTTCGTTCCTCCGTTCATTCGTTCCACCAACGTCGCCTCAAAAGTTCTTTCGTAAGTTCCTTTATCTTGCCATATTTTAGCGTAAATATTGACTTGCAATTATCATGAAACGAAAACGAAGAGATAGATCTGTTCGAAAGGAGTCAGAACAGACACTGTCACTGAAAATCAGCGCTTAGCTGCTTGGGGTGTAAAAGCTACTCACCGCAAACTGCAGTAAACTCGTCGGACCTGTCACCGCAGTCATCTTCTTTATTACACACTTGCGAATCCAGCACACACTTGCCGTTTGAACAACCAAACAGTCGGCCGCTGCAGTGGGCTGCAGATTCGTTCACACACTGAAACCCGTCCTTTAATTTCAATCCAGCCGGGCAAGAGCAGATACGCTTTCCCGCTTGAACCTTGCAAAGATGAGAGCAGCCTCCACCATTTAAACAAGGGCTTATAGTACCTACGAAGCAAGGTCGAATTCAACAAGATTGGTGATACGCCTTGGTAAGGGAACTGAGAAAAGCTTGCGTCACGCCATGTTAAAGGGGCTGTCCGGGTCATGTTTGGGGTTCTAGTTGTCCCATTGAGTTTAGACTAGGGATTTATGCAACAGGGCCGGGTTGTTCAAAGCCCGATTAAGCTAACCCAGGATTAGCGAGAATTTTGATTTCAGTTTTGTAACTTTTTGGTGAGGTGTTCTCTTTATATAGTTTGCCCTTCAGTTTTGAGCTGTAGTAATCTCAAACCACACCAAATATAAGAGGTGAAAAACATTTTTAAACAAGAAAAAAAATAATCCTTCAGTCAACGTTTAATCCTGGGTTAACGTTGACCGACTTTCGAACAATCCGACCCTGAAGATCTCAAGTCCATTGAAAATCAATTTAAATTGTCGATATAGAGGGACCTTGGAAAAGAATACTAACAACCAAACAACAATTGACCTGTCTAAACGGGTAAAAATCGGAAACATAGCACACACATATCACTTTGTTCTGTCAGTGATGCTTAAAATCTTCAATCAAATTTGCAAAGAATGGCTGAATAGGACGAACCATGAAACTTCTAAAAAAAATGCATTTTAATTTAATTTTTCATTGTTGGTCAACTGGAAAGAATCAATTCAAATAAAAACTGAAACTTCAAACACAACTTACAGTTCTGTCGTTCTTTGGCAAACACTTGCAGACGAGTCGGTTGATAATTCAGTGTGGCCAACACCACGACATCTCCGCCGGTAAATTTGTCCGCTCGCACAATAGTTCCCTCGCCATCGACCCAATACAAGAATCCTCCGAGGACACCCATGAAGGTGGCGGGTGGCAGAGTGTTGACAATGCGTTTACCAGTTCCATTCAGGAAAATGCTCTCCACACTAGGAATAATAACGCAACATTTGGAAAATAAGTCCAAAAACTCTACTTCGCACAAAATGGTGCTAAATGAAACACGCAGACCTCTGGACTTCAGGATACATGTCAAGACTTTGAAATACACTTTTCGTGAATATTTGAAATAGTTCAGGAAGTTTGCAATTTTTGATACGGCAGTGTTTAAGATTACTGTGTTCTATGGCAATTTATGCACCTCTATGAATAAGTATCAATTGTTATCTCGTTTACGACTGTTGTCAGATTAATGGGCCATTTCCGAATAGGCCTTTGCCTATGTTTCAAAACGAGTCTTCGTGCAAAACCTTCCTTATGAAAATAAGTTTGATTTGCATGAAAATGAACCTGTAGAAGAAACACATTTCCATATGAATGGTTTCGCACTTAGACTTAGACTTTTGACACAGAGGCAATACACCTTATTCCAAAATGGTCGCCATCTAAGTATTCTTTTGTTTTCTTGTAAATTAGCCCTTGTTGCATCGTTCTTAAACTCGAAATTCACAAGAATATTTTCCTTAAACGAGGCAACAAGGGCTAATTTGCAAGTAAACAAAAGAACACTAAAATGGCGGCCATTTTGCAATAAGGTGTATAGGCAATTCGGAAACGGTCTATTTGGTTTTGTTGGCGGACAACGCATTTAATTAGCGTAACGAGTCAACCGGTGACAAGAAAGCCTATTTATTCTACGCTTAAAAGTCTTTTGTAAGCTTAACCCAGGATCCATAAGGGGTACACATTTCAACTACATTAGGTTTTGAATTTTTCGAGTGCCGCCATGTTGGATCTGAGGACGACACCCGTTTTGCTTTACAATACAGTTGACACTCGCCATCTCAAGCTCGCTTTTCTCGAACTCTCTGCTCTCTCGAACTGAAGTCAGTTCCCATTGGATTTCTTTTAGTATCATTTGCTATCGGCTATCTGGAGCCCCCGCTACCGACACTATTTTTCTTTCCCCCGTGGGGCTCTAGAAAGCGGTGTTCAACTGTAACAACTTGTGTTTAATTCACTTACTACTGAGTAAACGAATTCACCCAGAACAGTCGGTTTTGTGAGTAATCAAACGTGAGGGAAGATCCCAAGGCGCACACAGAGTCGGGAAGAGTCTTCACATCAGTACCATCTGTGTTAGCTGTTTTTATGCTGGACAACAGAACCTGCTCGTGTCTCCACACTAGAAGCCTGAAAACAAGGAGGGAATAGAGGTGAACAACCAGTCTGTCGACGCATGGTTCAAGGAACCACATCATCCTGAAAAGTTTCGCCTACTTTTTTTTTTTTTTTTTTGTAATTCGCTGTTTGTAATCCGTGTTAAACTTCTCCATTAACCATCCTTGTTCCTTTGTGGTTTCGTGTTATCTCTTTGGTGTTTTTCTATCTTAGTAAACTGTTATTTTCAGGTTTCCTTCAATTCAATGCTAATTTTGTCCACGGCCAAAATAACTCAAAATACCGTGACTGAGCTGCTTAACAGAATTAAGGACTTTCGCGCAAAAATTTTCCAACATTGGTTTTCTGAGACTTTTACCATTGTAGGATGATGAGTTAGTTATGTCAAAAATGTAAAAAAAATGGTGGGGTCACCGACTTCGTTCAGAGAGAACACGCCCGGAAGAACAACCTGACTCTGAAAAAACCGGGCTCCGTTAGCGAATAAGGCCACATGTACAGTAGCTGTAAGCCCAAAAATATTACAATTAGATCTTTGAAGTGAAATGTTCTCCGCCAAATATTGTTTAAGTGGACCTATTAAGTGAATTTAGTCAACTGGCGAGGTTCCTTAAAGAATAAGTTCGCATTTAGCGACCATAGCTTCACGCGCCTTGCAGCCGCAAGATGGCAGGATTCGGTGTCCCGTGAACAGAAACCTTGAAATTTTTTTAACTTCCCACATTGATTTTTTGGTTCATTTTTGCACAATAAGGAGATAATTGTAAATAAAATCTGTTTCTGGAAAGAAAAGTAGGAGTCACCGAACTCCCAAGATCGTTAAATCCAGGCAAAGCTATAGTAATGGCCATATGCCCTACCATTGTTTATTTTATTACTTAGCGCGCGCTCTCGTGCATGACGTGCCGTGTGAGTTTGCGTGCGCAGTAAGGATGCGCAGAAACAATTGGCGCGAACGTCCTTAAAGACTCTTCGAGGACAAATCATAAATATTTCATTTTCAAGGACGTTTCAAGATCCGCCAATTGTTCAAGGACTTTTTCAGGCCTGCACGAGCCATTGTAGTAAAGGTAATTTGGGGGAAAACAAGCATAAAACATAACCATCCTATACCTTTGACAAGGTAGGACTACCAAAGACGTTGGGCTGACTTCCACGTTATCTATCACCATCTGCGAACTAGAGCCATTAACATTTGCCTTGCCAATGATCTTTTTCTTTCCATCCGCCCAATAAAGTACTCCATTTATCCAGTCCAGGGCGATACTGGTGGCTTCCACGTCTGAGACAAAAAACGTATTATGTTACTTAAGGGATAATACATAGTAACAATACTAACTACTTAATAACCGAGAGTGAGGTCGTTACGGGAAAATCTCAAACTGAGGCCTTGCCGTATTGACCGAGCGATAGCGAGGTCAATACGG